CGGGGAGTGGGGGCCCCTGAGCTGCAGCAACAGGAGCTCTTCAGGTTTTCCCCACCTCCAGTTTCCCTCGATTCCAGGCCTTCACATTCTAACTTCTTTACAACCAAAATGGTTTCTTAGGGAACAGGATGTTCTAAGTTAAGTTTCATGAATTCAGTACTGTTTCCTGAAAAACCTGTGAGGAAGAGAACCTCCCCAGCACTGAGATGACTACACCAGCACTGGATCCACAAGACTTTCCACCCACCGGCCTGTGATCTTCCTGCATTCGGCATCATTGCATGTGCTGCGTGAGTCTGAAGAGAAGTCTATGGACTAGTATCAGATGCATGGGCTAATATTGAACTCATGGGCTTGATCTGGACTGGGCGTTTTCTCAATATACAATTGCTCTAAGAAATAAAAACCAAAAAAGACTGTTGTGTGGGTCTTCTGGGTGACCGCAGACCAGCCGAGCACAGAAAGCCCTGCCCTCCCTGGTGGGACGCGCAGGGTGGAACGGCAGGCCATTCTCAACAGCATTGACAACAACAGCAACAATCTGTGAGGAGCTCAAGGAATCCAAGTGGTGGACAGACTGACAGGCAGAGCGAGCCTCTGCTGCGGAACGCTCACATGACTTCTCGTAGGTGGCGACGTTTTCCTAACAGCCTTGGGAGAGAAGAGGAGAAACAGGGCAAAGATCCGCTTTCTGCAGCTCACGGACATGCCGTCTGTGCAAGGAGAAAAGCTCACCCTTGAAGATGTCACTGTGTCGTTTAAATCACGCAAATTTGCTAGGTTTTCGTTTTTTGAGTATCTTTCTTTTTAATCTACAAATACTCTAAGTCCCACAGCACTGTTTTATCTACTATTTCTAGATTGGAAGAAGATACAGCTAACAGAAAAAAGACACAGCTATTGATATGTGCTTAGAAGTCCTCTCTGATGGGCACTTTGCTTGTAAGGCTTAAAGCTATACAGTGCCAACTGTAGTTCAGGTGACTGTTAGGGACTGACTGCTGACCTCTCCCTACAAAGGTCATCATCCGGGCTGCGAGAGGTGACTGTGACATCATGGAGCCAGGGTCGCTGCAGTCCATCGACCGACTCTTGAGTCAGTCTCTTCTGAGCCCTGAGCGAGATTAGTCAACCTCTCCAGGGACGAGCATCTTCCCCAGAGCAGACAGAGAAAGCAAGCCTTCCCCTAGCTTCTAGCTTCCTAGGTCTCTCTGTTTGTTACAGCCATGTGTTACTGGCATATCTGAGACAGCAGCATTCGATAACGAAGACAAATAAAATCTGGTATAAGAAGAGTGGGGTGCAGCTCTGGCAGATGCTCAAACGTGGAGTAACTTTGGAGCTGGGTACTTGGTGGAAGCTGGAAGGGTATCGAGGTGGCCAGCAGTAAAGCCCTGCTTGCCTTGAAGAGTGTGGATGGGCTGTGAATGCCCAGGGCACATCTGGTGGGACCCGAAGGCACTTCCATCACCTCAAGGAGACCCGCAGCACCAGCGACAGAATGTGGGGAGAAAAGGAGACTGTGCTGTGCTTCTGGGGGGCTTTAAAAGAAAACGATGAGCACGTGACTGGACAGTGCAGGAAGGGCCAGGCTTCTTACACGACGGCAAAGAACTTGTCTGAGTTACGTTGGATTGTCTGGTGGAAGCTAGAACTCACAAGCAATACTGGAGATCTTCACACTAGGTCTTAAAGGACTGTGTCGTTTCCTCTTCACTCACAGACTCCAAGAGGAAAGAAATGGACTTTATAAGGAAAGTGGGCAAAGGCACAGTGAAAACGTGACTTGAAGATTTCGAAAATTCTGCTGTCTTAAGGACACGTGCCTAGGGTGTTCACCAAGTCTCGGTTAAACAATCTTGTGTTACAGAGATTAAAGCGGTGGCCGAGAGAGCACAAACCTATCAGCTTGGACTCAAGGGAGAGGAAGAATGGAAAGACAGGGCACTGTCACCTCCGGAGTTCTGCAGGCGGGAAACAGGCCTAAGCAGCCACACTTTTTGACCCCAAGGCCCATCCTGGAGCAGCGGGGGATCCGCAAGGTGGTGGAGGAGCACAGGAAGCAAGGCCTTCTGGGTTTTAAAGGGCACTGCGTCTCATAGGGTGGGGCACAGCCAGCGAGGTTTCAGAGGCTCGGGTGGTCACTCTTGGCTCCAGGGTGTGGCACGGAATGGGGGCTACCCTCAGAGGTGAGCAAGGGGCAGAAGAGCAGGGCCTGCTGGGGCCACGGGGTGGGCTCGGGTGGTCACTCTCTTGGCTCCAGGGTGTGGCACGGAATGGGGGCTACCCTCAGAGGTGAGCAAGGGGCAGAAGAGCAGGGCCTGCTGGGGCCACGGGGTGGGCTCGGGTGGTCACTCTCTTGGCTCCAGGGTGTGGCACGGAATGGGGGCTACCCTCAGAGGTGAGCAAGGGGCAGAAGAGCAGGGCCTGCTGGGGCCACGGGGTGGGCTCGGGTGGTCACTCTCTTGGCTCCAGGGTGTGGCACGGAATGGGGGCTACCCTCAGAGGTGAGCAAGGGGCAGAAGAGCAGGGCCTGCTGGGGCCACGGGGTGGGTCACCGCTCAGAAGGACTCGGAAAATGGCACTGTTTGAACGAAAGTGAGCAGAGGGCCTGGCCTGGAAGACGGAGGTAGGGAAGAGTCCAAGGGCAGAGGGCTTCCACCTGGAATCCAGGGAGCTGGCCAACACCCACTGCCTACAGACTCAGGGAAGAAGATGAACTTCAAGCCTGGAGAGCTACAGCGATGGGTTCTGCTGGAATCGTGGCCTTTTCCTTTCTCTCCAACGTCTCCCATTTGTAAGGGCGCTGTCGGCCTTGTGCCCATCCCACCATGGTTCTTAGGGAGGTGACTTCTAGTCCAGCTGCCACAGGTTCATCGGTGAAGAGGAATTTTGCAAATATTTGATTTAGAGGCTCCAGAAGATGAAATTTGGATTCAGAGTAGTGCCCTTAAGTCTTCTGGAGTGATGTGATGGGATTTGCGTGTGGTGAGTGCATGAAATGGGGGTGGAGTGGGGGGTGTTAATCACTAAAGAGCAGAATGTTGTGGATTGAATTATGCCCCCCCTCCCCTAAATATGGGTTGTAAATTTTAACCTGCATGTTTGTGGCTGTACCACCGCTCGGGAACGTCACGAGGCAGGGCTAGTGCAGGGCATCTCCAAGTCGATCTCCTTTTCTGGCTATGAAAGAAATTCATCAAAGGATGGGGGTGCCAAACCGCCTGCTGAGGGTCCCGAGCAGCTCAGAAGGGACAAGGACCTCTCCCAGAAAGCCTGCCTCGGGAGCTGAGGCCCCAAAACGGTGACAGACTGAGACGTCTACTCTATAATAAAGCTCTCCACATGGGACATTTCTGTGAGGCCCACGCTGGACACCAAGACTGGGATGCGCACTGTGGCCTAATTGTTTTTAAAGTAGCACAAACGGGTATCTCTCTGCCTGTCAATAGTGGGAAATGGGGGCCCAGGCTGGCCTAGGGCAAGACCAGAGCCCTCTCCTTCCAAGGGGAGGCGGAGGAAGGCCATTGTGCTCATTCACCTCCTGCTCCTGGACAGGACCCACGCCTGCCTACCACCGGGGAGCACCCTGTACGGGCACTCTCCTCCCTAGGGAATTGAGAAAGACCACGCTGGAGTCCTCCCCACACACCTCCTGCAGAAACTCTCACCACCACTTCCCAAGCCTCATGAAAGAGCCCCTTACGACGGCAATCCCAGGACGAGGTCTGCTCCCCCGAACCAGCCCTCGAGCAGTGGCTGTCTTACCAGGGTACAGACCTGTGACAGGACTGTGCGGCTTTCCGATGACGTGGCCGATGCACTCGTTCATCAAGGCTTGCAAACTCTGGGAAACAAGGGAAAGCAGGTAGTAAAGGGAAGTATGCCATCGTTTATCGCGTGGGCGGCCTGCTGGTGTAACGAAAAGAAGCATGTCACCCTTCATGCATGTTGTCCGACCCGCTGACCTTAAAGCCAGTTTCAAAAGACGAGGTGCAGACGGAAGATTAGCAACAACCACATGGACTAGGCCAGGATGGGGCCCCGCAGCTGCACGTTGACAGATGGCTATGAATTCGCTCCCGCTGCCCTCCCACGAGCAGCGGAGGCAGGAGTCTGTGACTGCTCGGGTCCCCAACACTACTGCTCGGAGGATAAACGGAGGCTCACACGCTTGAACCATCTCTGAGACCCAAGGGAGGAACTGCGACAGCACTAGCCACAGGAACCCAGACAAGTGAGCGAGCCAATCCCCATTCCTCATTGAACTGCCCCGCAACGACCTGGTGGGCAATTTCTAAAATACAGAGCTAACGCATGTTTCACAAGCCCCAGGGTTTCTCGCTGCTCAGTGACGAGGTCAGCTGCCCAGGACTGCTGTAGAGGACCTCTAGATCACCGGCCACTAGCCCGCCCGAGCACAACCACCTCCTCGGAAAGACAAGCGAGCCCGGACACAGTCAGGAGGATACAGACCCCACCGAGGGCCAGCCCAGGGTCAAACGGAGGCATTTTCTTAAATGACAAAAACCTTTTGAAGAATTCTTACCAAAAAGTCATCTTCTGGTAAAGCTGAAATGAAGACAGGTTCGATGGCTTGGAGAAAATCAAATCCTTGGGTGGCCCACCTGTTACAGGAGAGTGTTTAATGCTCACAAACCGGCCAGAAAACACGGCTGTGGCCCAGGGGACAACTAACTGAAAGCGACCCAGGTGGAAAACGAGTGCCCATGTTCATCCACACAGACGGCGGGCTAGAGTCCAGGGGGGTTACAGCACAGCTCCCAAGAAAGACCCACCACCCGACACCGTCCGTCTCCAGCTGGCTGCAGCTCTGCTTCCCACAGACACCTGGTGAAGGAGTGCGTTCCAGCAGGGAGGGGAAGCAGCGAGCTGGAAGAGCTTGCCCAGGAAAACACCAGCCGCTTAGAGGTGACTCGGTTTGAAACAAGTTGTTTTTAAGAACTACGGCATTTTACAGAGAAAATAATTCATTTTAAAAAACAAACCAGCTGGTCTCCCAAGAGTTCTAAACTTCCTCTTCTTTGACCCCCTGCTAGAGAGCGAGCACCCAAGGGGCCCGAGGACAATGACCCAGCCCACCGGCCTCACAAATGGGACAGACTTCCTTGGTCATTACCTGGGTCTTGTGCCTCTACCACTCTCACACTTGGTCAGGACGTAATTCATCCACTTCCGGGCGAAGCTTATGTATTTGTCTCCTATCTTCTGTCTAAACTCCCCAGACATCAGGCGGACGACTTCTTTGTGATACTGCAAGGAGATTTTCACGCACATCGGAGTGAGGGTGACACAGCAGGCAGACACGCTGTCTCTCTACGACGCCCTGTGTCTAAACCAGAGGCCAGAGCCGCCAGGACTTGCATATTCCGAAAAGAGCCTGGAACGACTATAGGGGCTCAAAACGCAGTTTCATAACTGTTTCACTCAGTCGTTTAGAAAAAAAAGAAAAGAAAGAAATCACTAAAGTAAGAATGTGCATTTCAGACACTAAACATCTGAGAGGCTCTGAAATGGGAGGAGACAGCTGTTAGCACAAAATAAAAATGGAGCTGCCATCTGGCAGTTTTCAAATAAATGGGCATCTCCAACAGCCGGTAGGTACACACAGCATTTGTGACGAAGCTGTGACTGCAGCGAACAACCGAGCCAGCTGCCTGTAAGGCTGGCAGCACTTTCCAGGAGGACTGCACTGGGTGCCCTTCTCTCTGAGACCCACCTCAAACCCAAAATTGTAGCCCTGGATCATGGCCTCCCGGTGGTACTGCTGCAGCGTGGCTGCCTCGGACTCGTCGACCTCGGCATCAAACTCGGCTGTGAACATGTGGTCCACCTGGTCAATGGCATCGCCGATTCGGTTGCACAGCTCTAAGGCGTTGCTCTAAAGAGGCCAAGAGGCAGCAATTACACGGTGCTCACAGAAGCTACTGGAAGTCCCCTTCTGTCACCGCCAGGAAACGAACCCCAAAGTCTCAGCTTGCTTGGCTGGCTTGGAGGGCACGGCCAGAAACCGAGGGAGGGGGAGATGCTCTCCCCTGTTTGCGTGGTGCCTTCTTGACTGCCAAGGAAACGCTCACTTGAAACGGCAGCGCAGCACTAGTCTCGTCTCCAAGCAGTTGAGCATGCATGCCTTCAGCACCTGCCCGCCGACCACCTGGGCACCCCTGCCCCCTCCCTCCTGGGGTGCTGGGGCACAAACACGAAAACACGAGCAAGAACACAGTCTGTATCTATGAGACCTGCTCCCACCCTTGACGGCTGCTCACCAGTACTGCCCTGCCCTCAGCTGGGGGTCTTCACTCAGTGGCCGGGGCGGCCAACTTTCCTTTACTGCACAGGGTGTCCCCACCACAGGCCAACTGGCTCAACTATCACTTGGGTGGAGGCTGAAAAGCGGCTTTCCCTACCTTTTGAAGCAACTCAGTCCACTGTCCCTCCCAGCTACGCCTGTGAACCCGTGGTCTCCACCACGAAACCACCTCTTGGGCAGTGCCACCCAAAATCCTTGCCACAGCTAGACAGCCGGAAGACAAGCCCAACTCTCACCATCCTTCCTACCAGCCTGCCTCTGACTCTCTCAGCTCTGCGTGCTGCCGAGGCGGCCCAGTCAGACTCGGTGAGGCAGGGAGCACGCCCCTGGCCTGGATCCACGCCCAGCTGCTCCTGCTACACACGCTCCTCCCAGGCTCAAGGGCTACAGGGAGAACTCCCAGCTGCTGCCCCCACCACACCCATGTCCACTGCACTGCTGCCCTGCCCACTGCTGTCAAGTGGCTCCTGACTCAAGGAGACTCTAGGATAGAGCAGAATCGCCCTCCAGGGCTTCCAAGGCAGTGAATCCTTGTGGAAGCAGAAGATCCTATCTCCTTCGGAGCAGCTGTGGGTGCAAACAGCTGACCTTTCAATTAGCAGCCAAGCCTTTGGCCAGCTGCTCCCTGTGGCTCTGACCCCACCTCCCCAGGGCTGGAGCAATGGGTTCTCGCGACAAGAAACTCCTTCAGGGACCGTGTCGCCCCCAGCATGTGTAACTGTGCAATCCACCCAGACTTCACGGACTCCCAGGAAGCTGACAAAGGCCCTGCCCTGGGGACCAGAGGGTCTGAAGCCAACAAGTGAGAGAACAATCGACCGCCTACAGCTAAGAGAGACAGTCAAACTGACCAGCCAGTAAGAAATGTTTATCCAACAACTGCTAGCATAGGGAGTGCTGCTGCTGTAAGACCCACGCACCAGATGCCACGGGGTCGCCTGGGACTCACAGTGAGTCCTACGTGGGGTTTCTGCAGCTGTAGATCTTTAGGGAAGCAGCCAGCCTCATCGGCCGCGTTCCAGGTGGTGAGTGTTTTAACCTTGTGTGCTGAGGGAGGACAGGCTCCCCGAGCCCCTCAGGGATGGCACACACACGCACACGCACACAGGATGGACACTGGCGACACCCACCTTCAGCTGCTGCAGAGCTTTGGCGATGACGGGCTGGCTGGAGGTCTGCTCGTGGCGGACGGTCAGGAGGCCCTCCGTGGACTGCTGGAAGGTCTTCCTCTGGAGCGTCAGATGGGCCGACTGCGTAACGACTAGCAGGAGGTTATCCACCTGAGGCAAAACCAAGTGCAGGCATGGAAAAGCCCTCGACGCTCAGCCTTCCGCAGCCCCGCACAAGGTCACCTCGCAGACGGCCAGGCCAGCAGCTGCTCCCCTAGGGTGACACTGCAGCGGGCACCCGATTCACGGATGGGTGGCGTTGGGAGAACTGTGGCCACTCACAGGACAGAGACAGAGCAAGTGCTCTCGGCATGGCTGGGACCCAGGAAATGGGACCCCTGCTGGCTGAATGCACGTTACCCCAGCAGGGACTAGCACTGCCACTTCAGGTGCTCCGAAGCCCCAGCCATCCCTGAGCTGTCCCCTTCATGTCCCCACGCAGTCAGACAAGGCTGACACTCAACCCATCTGTGCATTTGCAACACTGCTGATCACACCTGGTCAGAACCCTGGTTTTGTTGAGAACACAGATTCCAGTTACACAAACAGTGCTTGATATAGAGGCACCTGCAAAACACTAGTAATTCAGATGGAATTACACTACAACTGGCCTTCCTGAGATTAAGCTATATAAACATTGGAAACACTACAGAATGGGAAAGTGTGCTTCAACTACTTACAAACCTAAGCGATTTACAAGTATCCATTCAACTGTAACCTCACAGCCGTGGATCTAATTCTGACTCTTAGTGACCTGATAAGAAGGTTGAAGTGACCCTGTCCTTCTCTGAGACTGTAATCTTCATGAGAGTAGCCAGTTCCCCCGGTTTCTTGCGGAAGGGCTGGTGGCTGGCAGCCCAATAAATACCCCACTATGCCACAGGGCTCCTCTCTTCATGCTAGCCTAGTGTACGATCAAGTGTATCAGGTCTATTTCCAAACCCTTGGCACTGGCCACACTGCAGCCCGTACACAGGTTCCCATTCCCCCGGCCCTTCATGAAGCCGCCCTGCATCTGCTCCCGAGTCTGTCAACAATGATTGCCACATGCATGTGAGCATGGTCGGAAGTCAGTTGCACAGGGAAATAGATCCATGAGCATTCTTGATCAGGCCCAGACCACTCTGAGCCACCTGCAATAAAGTGAACTCAGCCACATGGAGCCCCTACACGTGTGAGTAGGGGATACAAACCACAGGCAGTGGATATACTCAAGAGATGCCCACCACCGGCTCAAAGAAGTCTGACAAGCAGGCGATGGCGTTTCCCAAATCCAGTTTAGGAGTATGATAAAGTGCGATCTCTATAGGTGGCAGATTACCCCAACAGTCCGCAACACAGCTTTTCCAGAAAGGTTTAACAATGTAGAAATACAATGAGATATATTAAATAAAGTTTTTAGATGGAATTCGCTGTTACGTAAAGATACCGTCAACCATATGAAAGTGTCCTACGCGTATGGAGGCCAATGACAAACGGTATAAGGACACGCACGACAATGCTGACCATGGTTGCTGGGGCAAACTTGGCGACAACACTCCCTCATTTTTATTTTTCCTGTGTGCACATGTGGATGAAGGAAGAGTCTGAGTGTGTGTGTGTATGTGTGAGGGGGGGTTTGAGGACTGTGTGTGCGTGTGTGGATGGTGGACGAGTGTGTATGCGGGGGGAACAGAGTGTGTGTTTGTGTGCAGAGTAAGTGTATGTGTATGTGTGCATGTGCACAGAGGGAGAGTGAATGTGTGTGTGCCCATGCGTGGATGAGGGCAGCATCAGTGTGTGCATGTGCCCAGGTGGATGGGCAGGAACACTTGGGAGGATGAAAAGCGAGAGGAGCCGTGGGCAGGAGGAGGGCCTTGTTCGAGACGCTGAGAGGCGGGCACTGGGTTGCTTTCCTCGTACAGCGCGAGCTCCCCTACGATGTGATGAGGGGCCACAGCACGGCCGGGAACACAGACGTGGAGGGAGGTGAGACCTGAAGCAGGAGCACTGCAGGAGGGAGGCAGCTGCAGGGGTGCGGTGGGGGGGTGGCGGCAGGTTAGATCATAGCGTGGAGGTAGAGGCACACAGGGCCTGGGCTTGGCAGGGTTTGTGATGACCAGGAGGGGTGGAGTGCCAGCTCCCAGGCAAGGAAGTGGAAGGTGCGGGCTGACAGGAGCTGCAGGCGCCACTTGGGCAGGTGGAGGTGGAGGCACACAGGCGCACCCACCACCCTGGCCTGGAGCTGAATGCAGACACACAGCAGTCCTCGAGGTGTAATTAACACGTCACACGTGTTCACAGGTGCTGATAAGGAGGTGGGTAGGTGGCAGCCTTCGTGATAGTGAAAATGAGAACCTAAAAGACCAGGGTGGAGAAATAGTGGCCGTGTCCTTGGATCCCAGGTTCCTGTATTTAGTTGGCCTACTGGCCACTTTTCAGGGGGAAAATACCCCCTTGGTAATTAGAAGCTTTTGTGTGATAGCTCATAATCCAGGATAAAGTGTGGGTATCTGCACTGGCACCCCCTGGACCGTTCCAGCGCCCCCCGCCCCATCAGGGGGAACAGCACCCACGGTGGGAAACAGAGTATAGAGACCTAACAAACAGCTATGCTAAGAAAACCACAATTAACACAGACGGTGTATTTCAAATGCTCCAGTGTAATTTCACACTCTTAGAGAACTCTGCGGAATATTTTGGTATACGCTATGTCAAAAACATAGCTGTTAAAAATATCCACGCTTATTTCTGGCAATGTACTCTGAAGATTAGGGCTACATGAGCTGCAAGACTTTGTTTTTCCCTAAGCCTGCAGGTAGCTCAGACTAGCCTCCCTGGCAGGATGGGGGCATGACACACGCACACACCTGCATGCTCCTCAGCGTGTCTACCGTCTCCACCTGAGGCACCACCTTGACGGGCGGTATGCCCCACGTGCCCCAGCCATGGTCGGGCTCCTGGTCCCGGTCACTGTGCTTGGTCAGCAGGAGGTAGGTGTCACTGAGCATGTAGTCCGAGTCTTTGGAGCAGTCCTTGCCTGCGGCCGCATTGAGTAACTGCAGAATGATGCTCTTCTCCCCAGAAAGGGCGTCTGGGACAAAGACCTGCAGGTTCTCCAGCCCAGGGATTTGTATCTGGAGAAAAAGGGACCCAATACTTCACACCAGGTCTCGTCGCCAGTTACAGACACACACGGGGCTAACACCCAAATAAACCGAGTCCCATCGTCCGTTACACACACACACACACACAGATTGGTGAGGTCCCTCCACCAGGAGGGCTTCTCCTGGGTACACATATTTTAAAAGCAAAGAAAATCCTCGTTATAGGGAGAAGTCTGTCTGGAACCACCCCCACCAGTGCTAGGATGGAAAGTCCCAGAAAGTGTTCTGACTCAGGAAAACGGGAGAGCGTTAGCCAAGATGGATGCACTCCTCCTGGAAGCAACACGACCATCCTAATGGGGCACAAAAGCGCTCGGGCAGAGTTTGGGGGGTGGGGACTGGTGGGTTTGAGATTAAATTTCTAGCAACAATAACACATACTGATGCTCGAAGTGCTAAATCGCAGACTGCGTAAGTGGGAAACAAGATGTCGGCTCAAAGAGTGGTCCCAGCGACAGGCAGGGCACTGGTGTCAAAGACGCAGGTGCAGTCTGAGTTGAGTCAGGGAGTGTGAGGTGGGAAGCAACGGCTCACAACCAGTTCTTCCATTTTAAATACGCACGAGCAGCTAAACAGTCGCAGTCAACTTTGTTATTTTCATCTGCATCCTTGAAACAAGGTAACACTGTCAGGTAGGAAGGAATCTACCCCACCATTTCCCTAGAGACCTGTGAGTTGTTGGGGCCTCTAAGGGAGGGTCTGTGGCCGCAGGAGGAAAGGTTACCTTCACGTACTGCTTGGCCCTCAGAGCAGCCAGCAGGTCTCGAGTGGGGGCCGACAGGGCGAACTCGGCGGCAATCTCCAGGTCCTAGGGCACACGACACAGACGCACCATTAGGGTCAGCTTGGGAGGAGGAAGAAGAAACCGCTCCTCGAGACTGCTGGCTCACCTTCCTTAACATCTTAGCAAATCCAAGTGCCTTGGAGGCCCGCTCTCTGGCTTCATGGAAGAGCTCCTTCAGCGCCCGGCTGGTCTCTATAACAGATCGCCTGGAAAGCAGGGGGTCCAGTTAGGAGGTCTCAGGGAAGATCCCCAGAGGCAGGAGAGATCCCCAACAACAGAGGGGAGCACATCCCACACCTCCTTAACAAGTGATGACTGAAGACTTTAAAACAGGAACACAGGGTTATCAGGAACGGATTTGGGAGATTCAGAAGCGTGCTCCTCAGTTTTCTAGAAAACTCAGCGTGCTTTAAATGTAAGTGGGGCACTGTTAAACAGCCTTCAAATAATGGTAAATCCCATTTTCTCCAGATCCTACACTGTTCAGTTTTTGGAGTTTAGATGAGTTCTTGGGTCCCTGCTCATAATCCAATGGGAAAGGACGTTGTACGGTATGTGCTGGTAAATGCATCACGGCTGGCTCTTGGGAAAAACTGCCTTGTGTGGGGGTCTCGTGTGGGGCTTGCTGCGTGCCATGGTACAAACACACCCAGCCGAGAAGACTTCCCAGTGGGACACCAGTGGGCAGAGATGAGCACCAGCCTGCCCCAGACAGGTGCCCTCGGAAAAGAGGTGCCGAGGGTCGGTCTCTCCTGTTTGCCATCACAGGTCTCTATTCCCACATGGGTTTTGAAGTTGCCCCGTGAGCTCTCCCAAGGGCAAGGCCTTCTACCAGCAGGCTCAGCCTTTGCTTGGCTGTTCAACATCGGCCCAGGTGGGAGCCATGAAGGGATTTCTTTCTGAAACCCTGACTCTAAATTGAGACTCCCAGCGGTTCTGAAAGGCAAAATTGGTTCCTATGAGCCTTCAAGTGCTGACAGAGGCATGTCTGCTCTGAAGAAGTCAGGTCTACCTGGGTCTGTGCCAAGCTTACTCCACGGGAGACTGCTGACAGATGCCCACACAGCGGCGCCGTGGCCAGGCTCGAGGTCATGAAGCCAGTTTCCCACGCTCACCCTGCATCTTCTCTGCGTGGAGCGGGTGGAAGACGAATGAATAAGGCAGGGTGTTAGGGGCTTTAAGCATCAGCTGAAGCAGGGGAGGGTAAAGTGTAGTGACAAAATATAGTGGATGTCCCAAGATGTATGAACGGGCCGTTGGGGGCTATTAAGAGGCAGGATAAGCTTCATTAGAGGCGATCCTACAGCCCTCTGTGATCTTAAACCATCCACTGCTTTCCCTAAGGGCACAATCTCATTAGGCCACACAAACTCTAAACCAGCGGTTCTCAACTTGGGGGCCCTATGACCCTTTCGCAGGGGTCGCCTGATTCATAACAGTAGCAAAATGACCGTGATGACGTAGCAATGAAGATAACGTTATGGTTGAGGGGTCACCACAACATGAGGAACTGTAATAAAGGGTCGCAGCATTGGGAAGGTTGAGAGCCACTGCTTTCTTGAATCTTCAGAGAAATTTCAAACACAAACCATAACCAAGAGATCAGAGACCAAGCCCAACCCCACACTGTGGTCTTCTGATGCAGGGGGTGGGGTGGGGGTGGGGACAGAGGTTTCTGCAGCTGTCAACCCTTCTCCCATGGAGCGGGTGAGTTCCAGCCACTGACCAACATGCACCCCGCTGCACCACCTCCTGTGAAGACAAGCCCGTCATCAATAAGCTCCTGTGGCCCACCCGCCAGTGTGCAAGGTCATGCTGGCTCATGACAGAGAGCCCGGGTCTGGGAGCAGCCACGGCAGAGCCCGAGGGGCAGCGCAGACCTGATTTCATCGGCGGCAGTGCTGTCGTCCGCGCTGGTCCAGAACGCAGCACAGCTCTCCTGCAGGCCCAGCTCCAGGAAGCTGCCTGTGGACTTGAGCAGCATCCCCGCGATGTCACTGCGAGAACAAAAGCCACCATCACCACTTGTGCAGGAGTCAGGGCTTGCCCCGCCCTCCGGTCATGGAACGGCCCGGCGGTATGTCAATAGCGTTGACTCTTTTCTCCTTGAGTATAAAATGGTGACTAATGTGAAAACGTAGACATATCAGTTGTGTCTACCTGTTTCTATTTCCGGTTTTTATTACAATCCTCAAAACTCTTTACATTTCTAGTAGTTATGCAGCCATTACAGGAACGTCATCCCCACTTAAATGTGGAAGGCTGTATAAATGATCTCACGCATGGCAGGAGCTCTAGAAAGCTCTCTAAGCCAAGCTGTGACATAGTGGGACACCGTGAATCCGTTAAACCTAACTGTTCGAAAATGCCCCCCCACGATCACTTCACAGTCAGGAAACATCCTACATGGCTGACACATAGAAGGACCAATGTTGACATGCAAGCCCAAGTCTCTAACGTAACCCTAGGAGTACAGTCACACTCAACAACAGTCTCTTGAGCCCACTCAGGCAGGTGCGTGGCCCAGATAAGCCCAGGTGGACGGTAAGTGGTGGGCTGTGATGAGGCAAAAGAACCAGGGCGCCCTGGGTGCCAGCAGGTGCTACAGAGAGATGCACAGCAGCAGGGAGCGGGGAGGGCCCAGGCCAGAAGCAGAGGCTGTGGCCATGGCTGAGGAAGTGTGTTAGGAGGAGGGGGAGCAGTGTTAGTGAAGGGCCAGGTCAGGAGGCTGGGGGCAGGGGGGGCAGTCCAGACAGCAGTCAGCATGACGGACAGGCATGAGGGTGCCTGTGAGAGAAGAGAAATGCTGACTGGCCAGGGGCAACACCAGGGTGACCAGCAAGTGTGAGTGGCCTGGGGCAGCGCAGGAGGAGAGAGCAGGGCCAGTGGCAGCGAGGCGAGGGCTGGGCTAAGGAGCGCAAAGAGCTAACAAGCAGCCTGTGCAGCAGCCTCGGTCCAGGCTCGGGCAGGCCTGTCTTTGCTGAGGGAGGAGGAGGAGCGTTTCTGGCAGAGAAGAACCCGTCTGATTCCTCTGCGGAGACAGACTACAGAGAGGGAGAGGTGCTGGAGCCAGCAGGGGAGAAAGGACATGGGCAGCCAGGCACAGGCACTTCCGGATGGCTCTGAGGCGGCCAATTCCACGAGTGGCGGAGCTCCCTGGGACTGATGAGCAGGAGCTGGGGAGAAGTCTGAGCCCTGCGGTGGAAGCTAGGGCCACAGTGGTGAGAAGGGCGGGAGGAGGGCGGTCATGGCCCATAGCTCCCTGCTTTCCCTTTCCTCTTTTCCCAGCCAGGGGCAGCTTGTAGGAGGAGGAGGGGCGCACAGGCGGGGGCTGTGGGTGGGGAAGGGGGTTCAGAGACGAGAGTGAGCTCAGCGTGGCACCACAGGACACACAGGCTTACGGCAGGGATGGCGCATCGACCATCACGGGGGACAGAAGGAAGGGCTGAGCACCCACCCAAGGGGCCCTCGGAGCCCAAAGATGCAGACTGACTAGGGGCGGGGGAGGGAGTGGGGAGGGCAGGGCAGCCCTGTAGTCGTCGGAAGCAATGGCGCAGGCTTAGCGTCACTCGGGTCAGACAGCAGAGACTGGTTGTCACTCGGCATGCGCCTGTCCCTCGGGTCCACATCCATGCAGAGACCAGACCCCCAACAGCACCCTGTCTCACCGGGAGGGCTGCCTGAGGCCAGGCTTGCAGACTGGGGAGCTGCCCTGCGCACCCGCCATACTTAGCAGCCCCCTGACCTTGATCCACGAAATGCCATGAAGAGCCCCCCAATCAGACCACCCAAAGTGACTCCCGACATTGTCCGGGGTGCCCTCAGGACAACCTGTCAGAAGCCAGTGCCCCACCCACGATGGTGGGACAGGGCGCCCACCAAACCCGAGGGCGCAGTTCCCGTGTGAGCAGTCTCCGAGGGACCAGAGGCAGGGAGGGGTCTGCGCAATGGGGGCCACACGCACAGGCACGGGGTTCCTACCAGAAAAGCTTCCCAGCCTGGGCTTCTCCACCCCGGATGTAATGCGTTATCTCTTTGGTGAAATTCCATTCTTCTTCTAACAGATTTTTTAAACTATGGGATGCTTGAGGTAACTGCTGTAGCATTTGGATCCAGCTTCTCATGTAATCAAAATAGACCTTAAACACAGAAACGCAGAGGGAGACATTTGAGGGCAGAACTCGGCGGGCCAGCTTTCCCCATGTTCCCAAAGGCCAGGCACGAATGCAGGCAACTCAGAGCCGAGGAGACCCCTCGGGGCTCGTAGCTGATGTCCCCACCCTCCGGATTCTGAACATCAACCAAGCAGTGACGTTTTCTCTACGTCGGTATGTTTGTATGTGTGTTTCTGATTAATATACCGTTGCATAATATTAGCATAGTGGAATCATGCTCGTCTGAGTCACAGGCGACAGCGTGGTTGAGAAACAACCAGCCCTGCCTCCTCCCCCTCCTCCCTGAGACAGCACCTGTCTGTGGTACCTGGTCATGACGCACCGTGCGGCACCCTCTCTCACCCCCAGTCTATCCTCCGCCACTTCTCACAGCCTTTTACCTCACTTGTCAGTCAGGACCCCAAGCTTGATCCGCCCCCCACCCCCCAGGCCCCCACACAGGCCACTACAAAGTCACGTGACGGGAGCCATGCTTGTTCTGCGCATTCACAGCCACCGTCTCATGGCCTGCATGGTCTGGTCTGTCTCTTCAACCGAAAAAAACACTTCCAGTACGCTCCCACAGCCGCTCCAATCCCCGGCCCCTCATCATTGAATCTTGCTAGTTTCGGCCCCCAATTTCTTTGGAATCCTTACATATTTTTAAAAATAGATAACAAACCACTCTTGTCCAAGCCTACAGGGGCACTACTTAAAGGTTTGTGACTGGCCTAATCCTGCAAGCTGTGAGAACCAGCCCTTCAGGGAGAGTCCTGGGGCCTCAGTTCTTGCCCCGCTCCTGCCCCGTGGAGGGACTCTGCATACCAAGTACAGCAAGTGCCCCGTGGTTCTCACCTCCGTCCTCCTTACCGCCTCCCCAAAGGCAACCATGATCTTTATCATGCAGTGCTGCCTGTGCAATTTTCAAAAACTTGACACGACTGGACAGGAGTCTTCGAGGCACACTGAGCAGGCGGAGAGGCCGGCTCTGCACAAGGGCAGCGTGCAGGGGAAGGCCAGCAGGACCCTCTCGGGGCTGGGGGTGAAGAGAAGCCGGCTCCTGCTGAAGCCAGACGTGAAGCCAGCCTGGTCCACTTCTCAGATGGGCCTGGTTCCTCAGCTACCCTGAGCTCTGGCTCTGAGACTCTGCTCCCCCAGGGAGAACTGACAACCCGGCTAGATCACGTGCCCTGTGTTCATGAGTCCTGGGTCCAGGCCTGCAGCCCTCATGCTCTGTGGCTGCGGTGCGCCCAGCACTGCTTCTTGGTCACCACAGTGTCCCCCTCGCCTTGCCAGGGCCCTGGCATAGCCCAGGGCTCAGAACAGGGCTCTCGCCAGAAAGCTGCTTAAAACAGGCCAGTGACGCCTAGTCCGCATCACTCCTGCACCGACACCACAAGCTATGCCGGGCGTGCCAACCTGTCTATGGTCGAAAGAATGGTGTGGATCTGGGAGAGATCAATGTCCTCTACCTCGTCCCAGAAGGAAAACATGTGGTCAGTCAGGTCATGGGTGTGCGCGCAGAAGCTCCCTGGCCACCCACCCGCTCACCATCAGCATCTTGTGCAGGTCGTCCTCGAAGGCGTCCATGTTGCAGTCGGTGTGCTCCCGGCCGGCCAGCAGCCCGTGCAGCATGAACTGGTAGTACTGCTTCATCAGGAGGCCGCCCTTCAGGACCTCCTTGCACTCTCGCACCAGCTGCGGGAGACAATCGCAGAGTCCACACTCCGCACGCCAGGGCCCACGCACGCCCACTGGCGACCCACCAAGGAACCGAGTACTGTCTTATTCCTTATTAATATAGCCTCCGCAGGACCGAATGAAAACAGAACCAGAAACTTTGAGAAACATGCAAAACTGTAGCACACATGCACAGCAAAAAAATACTATACGGACAAGCAAAGACTGGCTGAAATACAGAAATAAAGTTGTATACAAAATAAATTCCAGACAATGAAAGCTGCTTTCCTACCAATTTATGTTATAATACAAGAGTTTCTACAAAACCCAGACAGGAGTCCAGAGAGCAAGGTCCAGCCCAAAGAACAGCTCTGAAGGGATGTGCGGGGCCAGTCCACTTCAAGGCAGAGCTGGGCACTCTGGTGACAGCAACTGTAATTTGGAATCGCAAAGTGTGCCACCTAAGGTAGCCCTGACCGGAGCCATGGTCCTTTCTGTCCCGTCGCATGCCTGTGAAATGTGGACAGTGTGCGCGGCGGCGGCCTGAGAAGAACCGAAGCATCTGAACTGTGGTGCTGGCACAGACATGGAATGCACCGGGAACTTCCAGGAGCACCAATCGTCTGTCTTGGAAGAAGGGCAGCCAAATGCTCCTTCCAGACAAGGATGGTGAGGCGAACGGGACATGTCATCTGGAAGGAAGGGCCAGTCCCCGGAGAAGGGTATCATGCTTGGTAAAAGAGAAGGTTAGCAACAGACGGGAAGCACTGGCAGAGGGGCGACCACAATGGAATGACTGTGCGGACGGCGGCACGGACTGCGCAGTACCATGCAGACTCGTGGATAAGCCAGCTTTCAACACATTTCTAAATGCCGTTTCTGTGGCAAAATTAGGTGCCTCGGCCGGTCTGCGGGTCGGGTCGGCTTATGCTTGAGAGCATCCGGTACTCATTGTGCTGCACAGCTAGGTGGTCATGAGTCAGAGCCAAGTCAAGGGCATTCCCGGAGCCTAATCCTAGGAAGTTTCAGGATATGGAAAACCGCGCGGGTGACAAAAGGCCAGGAAAGGTGGCCTGCATACACACTTATGCACTCGAGTATAAGTCAACCGGAGGATCAGCCGAGGCACCTGATTTTACCACAAAAACTACATTTAAAATGTGCTGTAAAACTCGGCTTATACACAAGTATATACGGTATGGTTTCCCCATCATGACAATGCACCTGCTCAACCTTTGAAGGTAGCAAAGGGCTGTCTTATGAGAATTTCATTGGGAAATTTTAGCCCAGGCGCCCTACAGTTCTGAGCCTGCCCCTTCTGACTTCTTTTTCTTCCAAGTCAAGAAACTCTGACAAGGAAGACAAACTGGTCACCCCCCACCCCCCAAGGATACCCAAACTGCAGTTCTGACATGGTTCTTCTAAAAAGGGCGAGAGAGAGGGAAACACCACCTTCCAAATGTGTCTAGACCTGGATGGAGAATGATGAGAAACAACAGCTTCCTATTGGATGTGTTTGTTCATTAAAGGGCTCTATGAAGCTCTAACAATACTTTTTTACTTACCCTCGGATATCTGCTTATACATCGCTCCAGATACAGACAGACAGACAGACAAGTGAAAGGTAAACTGCATCTCTTAAAAAAGTTCTCTGGATTCACAGACCGGCAGCAGGAGCACAGGGGAGCCAGGCTCTTCTCTCTTACTCGGGCGGGAGGGAGGGAGGGACGGGAAGGCTGAATGGGAACCTCAGCCTGGAGGCTGCACACAGAACACTGTATCTGCAGCTGAACACACCCCCCAGTATTTCTTCCTCACTGTCTGCAGACATCAGGAAGACGGGCTGTGAGGCGCAGCCCTGACGGCCGCGCCGCGGGCAGCCCCGGCACGCACCTGCTTGATGCTGAGGAGGGAGGGCTCCCCGGCGGGCCGCTGCTCCAGCCGCAGCTTCAGACACTCGTGGATGACGTTGAGGAGGACGCGGCAGAGGACCAGGAAGGCGGGTTCGAATGACGGCAAGTCCATGGAGTGGAGCTCCTCCCAGGGCACTGCGCTGCCCTCCTTCTGCTCACAGGACGAGGGCGCCCTGGGCAGCTGCACATAATCTGAGCCCCACATGGGGTCCGGGAATTCTGAAAACTACCACAGAAATGGAACCCCCAGGTTAAAGTAGGCTGTCTGAAGATGGGGGCTCTAAACAACTCTTCTAATTTGCTGACAAAGCCACAGAAGTCTAATAATGGAAGACATTTTTTCTTTAGAATAATTCAACATTTTCCACGTAGACTCCCCCAAAGTTCTACAAGTGTTAGAAAACCTTAAGAGACAAAAGCGAAATATTACATCACAATGTATTCTCCACAGAGAATCAGGCTCATCTTTAATAGTTTTGTAGATGGCCCTAACACTAAATTTTTAAGGTTTTTTACAGTATAAGCCACAGTTATTTCCGGGCTGAGAAAACCATAAAATTATTCAAATTTGAGAAGAGACGTTAATAACAGGTAGCAGCACACCCTGAAATGTCATCTACATGAACATAAGAACTACGAAGCTGAACCAATTATTCTAGCCATGTGCTTCCTGGGGTCAGGAAGGACGCTGATAAAGAGGGAGGGAGGGAGGGAGGGAGGGAGGAAGGAAGGAAGGAAGGAAGGAAGGAAGGAAGGAAGGAAGGAAGGAAGGAAGGAAGGAAGGAAGGAATGAATCACAAAACTGATCTGAGGGGACAGCTCAAATCCCTGTAAGGCAATGTGTTCTACGAGTGCCGGGGTTCAGGTCACCCACTCTCCCCACTATCCCCATTATGTCCCTCCCTCTTTCCCGCGTATCTACCTCTCCAGAACCTCTACCGAGTGCCTCTGCCACCTGCAGCGAGTCCTGCCCACTGCTCCCGCCCGGCGTTCCCCAGATGACCCAGTCCCTGCCCTCCGAGGAATCCACACTTGCTGATGGAGAGCTTCTTGGGTAGGGACCTGAACTGTCTCAGTACTTACTTTATCCTTGAGTGACTAATGAATGACATCCTCACCTACAACCTTCTGAATTCTCCCCGCTCCCACCCCCCTAAAATAAAGCCCAAGGAACGAGCTGCACTTTCAGACTCCTGGGCTGCTCCTGTGCCTCTCTCATTGTGCTTGCCCACACAGCAGCTTCTGCCTCCCAGGGCTCCCGGGGCCCTCCCAGGGTGCCCCGGCCCACCACCTGTCCTCTCCCGGGGGCTCCTCACCTGGACGTGCTCCAGCTCTCGTTCCCCAAGCTCACTGCATGAGCCCGCCCGGGGCTCCTCCTCCTCCTCCCCACAGCACGCAGATGGCGACACTGCCTGGCTCCACGCTCACTTGCACCCCCAAGTCAGAAAACCAGGTCTCAGGAGCTTAATTTGCTATTTTGGATTTTGGAGACATTATTTAGCATCTCAGGCTTGGTTTTCTTCATTTTAAAAATGGGGCCAGCCTCCAACCCCACAGGGTTATTATAAAGATTAAACAGAATATGGATTTTTTCCAAGTGCTTTCAAAAGCACACTAAGTGCTCATCAAATGACTGCTATTAAGATGTCTGTCTCTCCCACAAGATCATGACTTGTTTCAGAGCAAACACAGGTAAGCTCACCTTAGGTTTGACTTGTGCCGACCTGCTGCCCTAACTCTTGAAGCATCAGACAGGGCCCAGCTGCCGGTTGGGGGCAGGCCTGTGTGGGCCTCCCATCTCCTGTCAGCTGGCCCCACATCCACCCGTACATAGCTGCCCCCTTCCTTGAGCCCCTCATGCGGATGTTTAACCAGACTTCTCGGTTCTACCAGCCAATCACCACTGTCCTTTACGCCTACGGAAGAGCTCCGGGGGTACCGTGGTTAAGCGCATGGCTGCTAACCAAGCAGTCTGTGGGTCAATCCCACCAGCTAGTCAGAGAGGGAGGAAGATAGGCAGACTGCTCCCAGAAAGAGTTAGTCTTAGAGACCCTGTGGGGCAGTTCTTCTCTGTCCCAAAGGGTCGCTGTAAAGGGGCTCAAGGGCAGGGTTCAGTAGTGTTTATCTGCCTTAATACACATTGGCTTTTCTACTGGGTTCTGAGTGCAGCATTTCACTCCGCTGACCTCACAGTGGCGCACCAAAGTGGTTTTGTTCTGAAAGTTGTGCTTCGTCCCTTCTGCTGGACAATGCTTCCCTGGCATGACGAACACGAAGTACCTGCTCCCGGCAATGCTTTAGGACCACCGAGAACTGCCCCACAGGGCTTCCGAAGCTGCAAACTCTACAGAAGCAGAGTGTACATATTTCTATGGGATGGTTGGTAGGATCGAACTGCCGACCTTTTGGCGAGCAGCCAAGAGGTTAACCACTGGGAAACCGGGCTCCACGCACACCCAAAATGAGAAATACCAAACCCAAGGCTGGCGGGTTGATTCTGACGCGGTGACGCAACACAACAGAGAAAAACGGCCCCCACGGGGTTTCCAAAGCTGTCAGTCTTTATGGAGCTGACAGCCCCATCTTTCCTGCAGAGCAGCGTGGTGGGTTCACACGACCAGCTTCTGGTCAGCTACCAGGTACTACCTAAACAAAAGAGAAAAACAGGACCAACCAAACCTACTGCTATCCAGTGGATTCTGACTCATAATGACCCTGTGGCTTTGCGAAGCTGTCCGTCTTTATTGCAGCAGGCAGCCTCTTTTTTTCTCCCTTGGAGCGGCTGGTGGGTTTGAACTGCTGACTTGCGGTTAGCAGACATCACTGACGTCACAAGTACAACCAGGTACTTGGTACTTCCTCCATCCTTTACCTATAAGTCCCTAACAAGGCACCGCCTTCCAGCAGCACACCTCAGTGCCTCTGCACACGTTCACATTTTTCCTATCACAAGTTACCATCTGCTGGCAAAGTCCTGTCCGATAAAATGCCTCCACTCCCTTTGGAGAAAACTCAGGTGGCACCTTCCTGGAAGGAGCTTTCTAGGACTGCCTTAGATCCTGTATTTCCTTCCTGCCCGGGCTCTCTTGAGTGCTTCCACGGTTGTGCCCATCCTGCTTTACGACAACATACCTTAGTACCACCGAGTGAGCTTCCCTGTGAGACCCTCAGACTCCTCAGTCAACCGTGCGTCTCCAGCCCCATGCTCATTTCCTGGTGCGGCACAGGTATGCAACCGGTATCTGACACACAGGTTCCCAGGTCAATACGCCTGGGACCTGCGTGGGTTCCCGAGCACTGCAGCACTCCCTCCCTCTGCTGCCCTTCCCCTGGACAACGCTGGGAGCTCGCTCGGCCATGAGCAATACGCAGGCAAGGTCAGATGTCTTTAAAGGGGATGCCTTGCTTTTCTTTAGCAATACTACTTATAGACCTGGTGTAACACACATATTTCATGACCAAAGAGCGGGATGTGGCCTTCTTCTGAACCCACTAAACTGAATGACTCATTTACGTCTGGGAGAATACAGCACACCCCTGTGCCACAAACCCCAGGCCAGGCCCACAAATCAGGGACATGACCAGCATTTCAAAGGGACTGCTGCAGCCTTCTGCACTCCGTTCAGATGTTTGCACTTAAATAAATACACATGCTGATTTCCCCATAATGGGCAAACCGTTCTAATATAGGCTCATCATTTTAAAAATGATCACTTATGATACCTGTGGTCAGGTTAAAACACGCTTGTTTAAAGTTTGAGGCATTAGAAATGCTTACTTGGTCCTGCTACAGAAAATGATGTCAGATAAAATGCGAATTTAAAGTTCTATAAAACTCAGGAAACTGTCTATGAGTTCATTCTGGAGGTCTTTCGGCATTACCTATAGTCCTGCCTGCTCACCCACGGGTTTCAGGCTCCAGGCTGGGGAAAGGGGCAGTCAGGGCAAGTGGGCAGACAGAGTCACACAGCTGCCGAGGAAGCCCATTCCCTGGGGGTCAGCAGGCAAGTCCACACCAGGAACTGCCTTCCGACACTCACTACACACTCCGAGGCAGCAAAGCTAGAGGGTGGGGGAGGTGGGGGGGGGGGCTGGGGGATTTGCAATAGTCAGATGCAACACAGAGCAAGAGCGACTCATCAAACAATGGAGTGTAAGTCCTTCTGGAAGCCCTCTGAGGCAGTGGACATGGAAGAGCCCTGGTCAGAAACCAGTTGAACAGCTTGGAGCCTAAGTGCAGAAAGGTTCACTAGAGGGCAGAAGGTCACAAAGGGAAAGGAAATGGAAACCTGAGTGACAAAAAGGTACAGTAAAGGCCAATGAAACACACAACATTCCTCTAGTTCTTAAATGCTTATTCCCCCCACTATCATGACCCCAGTTCTACCTTACAAACCCGGCTAGACCAGAGCATGCACACTGGTGCACGTAAGAGCTCTCAACACACACAGAATCCAGGACAGATAAACCCCTCAGGAACAACCATGGGAATATCCATACCATGAGGGTAGGGGAAAGGTGTGGGGAGAAAGGGAGTAACGATGACAATGATCCACGTATAACGCCCCAGGGTGACAAACAACAGAAACATGGGAGAAGGGAGACGGTGTAAGATATGAAAATAATAATTTATAATTCATCAAGGGTTCATGAGGATGGGAGGGAGGGAGTTAAAAATGAGGAACTGATATCAAGGGCTCAAGTAGAAATGTTTTAAAAATGATGATGGCAACATATGGACAGATGTGCTTGACACAATGGATGAATGTTTGGATTGTAATAAGAGTTGTACAAGCCCCAAATAAAATGATTCAAAAAAAAAAAAACCAAGAGTGCTAATGTAAGCACACTGAAACATTCTTCCAGAAAGACTAAAAGGTTGACGGGACTACATGAGGAAGAACCTTAACTCTTAGGGGTAGTTCTCTGCAGAGGTAAGAACGTCCACCAACTTAATATGTAAGACACTGTGGCAGAGTCCAGTCAATAAAAACTGAAACAGAATAAAAGATCTCAAGATAAGGAAAAGAAAAACCCTAGGAAGTGAGAATAAATCTAGGAAAACCTTTAAGATCCACCTACATGATAATTTAGTTATAGGTTGTACTACAAATTCTATAAATTAATGGGGTGGGGGTGCCGCCTTTGAAAAGTTCACGGAAAATGTAATTCTAAGATCATGGAATTCTCCTGTGAACTTTTTGAGGCCTCCTCATATTTGAAATG